TTTTTTGCCCATAGGCTTTCTCTAGATTTTTTTTCGCTACTGTATTTTTGGTGCTATTTTTAACTTTATGTTACTGTCTCCACTTCCCCAGTTCTGGGGTTTACATGTGTACTACCATCCCTGCCTTAAAAAACAAATAAATAAATAAAACTTTTATGTTTTTATTTTTTAATTCCCTTTCTTAGGTCTATCTGTTTATGTTTTTCATTATTCAGTAAGCTTTTTTTTTCTTGATTTTAATCTTCTGTTTTTTCATCTCCCCTTTTATAACTTGTCTTTACTCTTCTTTTTCCTTTTATTTAACTTTTTTTTTTTTTTGCATCTGTTTTCTCTCCTTTCCTGGCTTTTTCCTTCATCTCATTCATTACTATTTCCATGTTTGCTCTAAATAATTTTTTACTTCATAGTATACTTTCCATTAGTTTTGCCATTTTCTCTTCTTTGGTCATTGATGGTATATTATAGGCTTTGATCAATTTTGTTTGTTTGTTTTTGTTTTTTGAGACAAGGTTTCTCTGTATAGCAATGGCTGTCCTAGAACTTGCTGTCTAGACCAGGCTGGCCTTGAACTCAGAGATCTGCCTGCCCCAGCCTCCTGAGTGCTATATTAAATGCATGCGCCACTACTGCCCAGCTGGGCTTTTGTCAATTTTAACTGTACAACATATAGTGTGGTGTTACTATTGATAAACCAATTTGTTTCCATCTCCCTTAGTGGTATTGGGGGTCTAGCCTGCAAAAGTAGGCTGCTCACTAAGCAGACCCCCAAAGAAAACTGGAATAAAAATCCACACCAATGGAAGCACCAATTAGGACATAGAAATACTCCTCCATTACTGAATTCAAAAATACTAAGACAGAGAAAATGGTGGGTGAATTTGCTGGGCATTGGTGACATACGTCTTTAATCACAGCCCTTAGGAGGCAGAGGCAGGCAGATCTCAGTGAGTTCAAGACCAATCTGGTCTACAAATTGAGTTCCAGGACAGCCAGTAATGTTACCTGCCTCGAAAAAACAAAAACAACAAAAAAAAGTTGGGTGAATTCAAATGTTTTCCTATATAAACAGATGAATGAACTAAGGATTTGATATCAGGACTTGGGAAGAAAGCTGTCAACACAGGAGAAAGTAAGCAAAGTGGATGGAAAAGTTAATGTGCACATGACTGAGGAATTCATCTAAGAAGTTGAGGTTAATCAAACAAACAGACCTGGTGAAAATGAAAAACTCAGTAGAGCAAATGTGTCAAGAGGATAGTGAATGCAGAAAGCCTCACCCACAGCCTAGACGAAGCAACAGCAATACAAGAAGAGCAGGGTTGTGGACAAATGTGAAGAGTGCTCTACAAACATGATGGCCTGAAAGAAAGTGAGCAGAAAGGCACAACCACGGCTTTCCAACCCGTAAGATGTGGTCTAGAGACAGAACCTAGGAGTCCCTGGGGTGGAAGGAGTCAACATAACAGCTAATGGTCTAGAACGTGTATTCAATGAAAGTCTAGCAGTTTTCCAAATCTAGGGAAGAAATAAACATCGAAGCCCAAGAGGTATTTAGAACCCCAAATAGCATGACAAGGGAAGAACCTCTCCATGGTACAATGTACTCAAAATGCCAAAATATAAAACAAACAACAATATTAAAAAAAACTCTAAGAGAGCATAGTAGGTACAGATATAGACACGGGGATCTTTGTGAGTTTAAGGCCAGCCGGGACAACATAGTGAGCCTTTCTCAAAGAAAATAAAGCAAACTATAGGTAAAAAAAAAAAACAAAAACAAAAACCAGCAACTCACTTATAAAGGCAAACCTAGGAACTGGAGAGATGGCTCAACAGTTAAGAATACCGGCTGCTCTTGCAGAAGGCCTAGATTTGATTCCCAGCGCCCACGCAGTGGCTCATAACTGTCGATAAGCCTAGTTCCAGAGGATTTGATGCCGCCTTCTGACTTCCTTGGGCCAGGAATGCATGTGATGCACACACATAATACATACACATATACCTCAAAATAAATAAATCTGAAAACCATGGTTGAGATAGTAAATTGTTTGGGGCAGAGTGGGGAGGGGGCAAGCACACCAGACCTTGCAACAGAAATTTTAAGAGCCAGAAAAGCATAGAATGCTGTATTTCAATCCCTGAAAGTGAATAACCAATAAAACTGCTATATCCAACAAAGCTACCTTTTAATATGAACAGAAATAAGGACATTTCAGCACTAAAACAGTTTTTGACCACTAAGTCAGCATTGCAAAAGATACTTAAAGGAATCCTAAGAACAGGGGAGTAGGAAAGATAGATTCAATCAAGAGAACACAGCAAAGAGTAAGTTTCATGAGAGGACTAAATGAACAAAGGATACCTAAACCCATCATACCATGTTCAACATAGTAAGACAGTGAAATTCCTAATGCAGATAGGGAAAGGGAAAAGAGCAACATTAGTCTAACCAGTCACAACAACAACCAGCAAAGGGAGGCTGAAGGGAAAGAAAAGGGAAGAGAAGAAGACAGATGAAGAAAGCAAAGACAGAAGAAGCGTGACCCCAACATAATAACGACTAACTACAACACACCTAGAGCCAACATTATACTAACTGCAGGAAACCTGAACACATTTCCTCTAGTCAGGAACAACTCACATAGTCAGTATAGCGCTTTATACTTGGTCCAGTATAATCTCAAAATCTTAGCTAGACTAATGAGACAAGAGAACAAAAAAGATAGAAATAATGAAGGGAAAAAGTTAGATTAGCCCTAATTTCTGGTCACATGATCCGATTTTTGAGAGACCTTAAAGATTCCATGAAAAATTTAGCTCTGAAAAACACTTAGTAAAGTAACAGGATTTAAAAAAAAAAAAAAAAAGAGCATACAAAAACTAGGTAGCTTTCATATATATCAGTAACAAATTTGTCAACAAAGAATTCAGGGTGGGGGAGTTCCATTGACAAAAGCTTCAATAAATAAAAGACCTTACAATAAACATAATTAAGGACATTAAAGGCTATTCCAATAAAACTATTTAAATACTGAAGAAAGTGATTGAAGACCCTGAAAGTTGAACAGACCTCCCATACTCATGGAGTGCCAGAGTAATTGTAAAAATGTCTGTGCTGCTAAAAGTAACTTACAGACTGAACATAATCCTGGTCAAAATTGTAGTGACCTTCTCCACAGAACTGGAGCAGATGATCCTAAAACTCACATGACCCAAATAGCACACCCACCCACCCACATCATAAGCAGAGTGCATCACAATACCTGATCTCAAGTTATACTATATTGCTATAGTGGCAAAACCAGTGGAATACTGGCATGAAACAGACATGGAGACCAGTTACTTCTACCATTTTACAAGATTGAGACATACTTTTTTCTTTGGTAATATTGGTCTCTTGTTAATCACAAATTATTCTTCAGCCCCAGCTGACAAGAAACAGCCAATTCTTTTTTTTTTTTTTTTTTTTTTTTTTTTGAGACAGGGTTTCTCTGTGTAGCTTTGTGCCTTTCCTGGAACTCACTCTGTAGCCCAGGCTGGCCTCGGACTCACAGAGATCCGCCTGGCTCTGCCTCCCGAGTGCTGGGATTAAAGGCATGTGCCTCCACAACCTGGCTGAAACAGCCAATTCTTAATTCAAAAATATCATATAAACAGCTCTGATCGGCTGCTTTTGAGAGACTCCAATTCCCTCTGAAACTTTGTAAGTCAGGCCTCCATCATCTTTGTTGCTCTTAGCATTATCTTCCAACAACTCATTAAGCTCCAAATACTCAATGACTTTTCCAGGTCAAAGCTCCAAATTTTCCACCTTTCTCCCATAAAATATCCCAAAGCATAAAAGCTACATAGGCCTATCACAGCAAGGCCTCAGACTTAGTACCAGTTTCTGCCCTATTTTAATTTTCTGCTGTGATAAAACACTGACCAAAAGCAACTTGGGAAGGAAAAGCTTTACCTTAATAGTTGACTTTCCATCATGGAAGAAAGCCGGGTCAGGACCCACAGCAGAACCCTAGAGGCAGAAACTGAAGAACTACCGCAGTGGGCACTCCCTTGCATCTACTGACTTGCTCACCGACTTTGGTTACATAGCCTGGGTACCCCTGCCAAGGACACTGCTCACAATTTCTTAATCAGCAATTAAGAAAACGTACCCCTCAACACATGCCCACAGGCCAGTCCAGTGGAGGCAGTTCCTCAATTGAAGTTTCTTCCTAGGTGACTCTGGTTCCTATTGAACTGATAAAAAGTAACCAGCCACACATATATTAGAGAAAAGACAACCTCCTCAATACATGGTGCTGGAAAAACTGGATGTCTACTTGTAAAAGAATGAAACTAGATTCATATTTCTCACTCTGCATAAATATCAGTTTAAAATGGATCAGAAAACCTTAGTAATCTGAAACTCCTAGAGGAACGCATAGGTCAATATTTCATGGCACAAGCAGGAACTTTTTGAAAAAGAGTAATAGCTCTGGAAGTAATGGCGAGAACCAACAAATGGAATTGAATCAAATTTTAAAGCCTCTGCACAACAAAAGAAAAAATCAGTGGGGTGAAGAGATGCTGTTTGCCAACTGGAGATCTGCCAGGATTAATATCTAGAACGATCAAAAACAAAATATCTACTCAGAAGCTAACAGTTCTCAAAAGAATGTTCAACATCCTCTAGTTACCAAGGAAATAAAAATTAAAACTAGTTTGACATTTCATCTCATTCCACTCAGAATGGCCATCATCAAGAAAATATTTGATGATGAGGATGTGGAGAAAGATGAACCCTCATTCACTGCTTCTGAGACTATAAGTTGCTCCAGCCTCTGTGGAAATCAGTATGTAGGTTCCTCAAATATTGAACTATCATATATACCACTGTTCAGTATACACTTGAAGGACCAGTGCCACGTCAACACACAACAGAGATGTCTGTATTTATTGCTGTACTTTTTACAATAGCACAGTATGGAACCAGCCTAAAAGCCCAACAACAGATGAACGAATGAGGAAATGTGGTGCGTGTGTACAGTGAATTCAGTGTAAAGAAGAATGAGGAAATGTGGTGCGTGTGTACAGTGAATTCAGTGTAAAGAAGAATGAAAATGCCATTTATAAGCAAGTTGATAGAACTGGAGATCATCATAGTAATTAAAGTAAGCCAGGTTTAGAAACACAGATTTTGAATATTTTTGTGATATTTACTGTAAGAAGAATACATATGACATGCAGGTAAGAAGGGGACTACAAGAATGAAGGGAAAAGATGGAAGGGAAGAGGAGAAGTTAATGGGAAACATGGAATGTTCCATGTTTTTATCATAGAGAATCTAGATTTAAATATATATATATATGACATGAAAGCAAAAAAAGGTACTGATGGTAGAGGGAGACCATGAGAGGTGTAGTGGGAAGAGGTTAAATATGAGCAAAGTATCGTGTTATGCATGGAAAATGTCATGAAACCCATCATTATGAATTCTAACTAAAAAAAAAAAATTAAGAGGCCAATGTCGGGGCTGGAGAGATGATGGCTCAGTAGTTAAGAGTACTTGTTGTTGGTCAGAGGACCAGGGTTCAGTACCCAGCACTTACATGGTGACTATCAACCATCTGTAACTCCTGTTGCTGGGCATGTCACCACCTTCTGACCTCCGTGGGCCCCAGGCACATGCACTTGGTGCACTTGCATATGTGCAGGCGAAACACTCATGCACATAAAAATAAAATATTTCTTTAAAAAACAAGTAAGATGCAGCGTCAAGAACGGTGAGGCATTATGGCTTCTTTATAGTAAAGAAATCTTCAGTAGCTACCATAGTTATGCTTATAGATTTTGTCTTGGGCAGTTTTTTTTTAAAAGTATCTCAATGGTAAGTTTGATATAAATTAACTTTGTTTAAAACATTACCTTATAAAACATAATTGTCACTTATGTATTTGTTAATGTATTATTTTAGATCTACTTTGCATTTTAAAATGGTTTAAAATATTTAACAGTTGACTTGTTCGCTCTATGAAATAAAACCTTAAAATGAAATTGTTTTTCTTTGTTGTGATTTGATACTTCGATATTTCTGCAGAAAAGCCACAAGTTTAACAATTGTACCACTGAAACTTTGCACATCTCTCTCTCTCTCTTTTTGTTTTAGTGCTGGAATTGGAAGGACTGGGGTTCTTATTACTATGGAAACTGCCATGTGTCTCATTGAATGCAATCAGCCAATTTACCCACTAGATATTGTAAGAACAATGAGAGATCAAAGAGCCATGATGATCCAAACACCTGTAAGCACTATACTTCATATGTACATGTATCTCCTAAACATGGTGGATCTTGTTATATCCTCATTCTCTATCTTTTTTTCTTACACACAGACAAACACACTTACATATGACAGTATCCTACTATGTAGCCAGGCCGCCTACAACTCACTGTGTACCCCAGGCTGGGCTCCAACTCCTCAGCCTCCTGACAAGTATATGCCATAAAGTCTACCTCTAAATTATACTTTATCTCTTTAATTCTTACTCAGAAGCTAATATTTCGTATTATAATGGTCACCACCACTTGGTATTAGACATAACTATACAGTGGAAGGCTGCCATGTTCATCCTTTTAGGTGTCATCTCTGTTTGCTTTTTTGTTTTTTGTTTTGTTTTGTTTTGTTTTGTTTTGTTTTTTTGAGACTGGGTTTCTCTGTGTAGCTTTGTGCCTTTCCCAGAACTCACTCTGTAGCCCAGGCTGGCCTTGAACTCACAGATATCTGCCTGGCTCTGCCTCCCGAGTGCTGGGATTAAAGGTGTGCACCACCACCCCACCCCACCCCCACCCCCGGCTCTGTTTGCTTTTTATGCTGCAACAGCAGCAGATACCTATGGCCTACAATGTCTGAAATACTTACTACCTGGCCTTTTACAGAGACAGCTTTGCCAAACAACATGTAGATGGCTTCGCGTGGTAACTCTTTTGAGTCTTTTCCTCATGGAATGCTGTCAGTGAGAGCATCCCTAAACTGGAGAGTCTTTGGTTTCTCAAGACAGGGTTTCTTTGTGTAGCTTTGACTGTCTTGGAACTCACTCTGTAGACCAGGCTGGCCTCGAACTCACAGAGATCCACCTGTCTCTGCCTCCCAAGTGCTGGGATTTAAGGTATGTGTCATCACCGCTAGGCTAAATTGAAGAATTTTAGTAGGACTTTTTTGGGGGACCAAAGCTGTGGTGGAAAAACCTTTCTTTTTCTTAGGAACTTAAATTGCATAACAATGACAAAATTCCTAGAAATTAAGCTGCTTATTCATTATATTCTCCACTGACTTTTCATTCTGCGTTAGAAATCAACAGAATCAAGAAACTTTAGAATTAGTGTTAAGATTGGTTTTTGTATTAATTAAACCAAAGTGAGATGTTGGCATTGTTAGTGGCAACAAGTTTACTTGATGCTGTCTAGCCTAATCACTCTAAAAATGACAGTCATTTTCTAAGCTTCTAAATATAGAAAATCTCAAACTTACTCAAAAGTTGACATTGTAATATAATAAAAACATTATTAAATACCCAACATTTGCCAACTCATTTTATTTATTACACTCTCAATTTCTTATTATTTAAAACAAATCTTGGATGTCAGAAATATTTTAATATGTATCTAAAAGATAAGAATTGTATTTTTTTCCTTAAGGTTTATTTATTATCATGTATACAGTGTTCTGCTTGCATGTATGCCTGCAGGCCAGAAGAGGGCACCATATCTCTTTATAGATGGTTGTGAGCCACCATGTGGTTGCTGGGAATTGAACTCAGGACCCCTGGAAGAACAGCCAGTGCTCTTAACCTCTGAGCCATCTCTCCAGCCCAAGAATTGTATTTTTCTTTAAAAAAAAAAATACCATTATCTCACCTAAATTAAATTATAATTCCTTAATATTATCAAATAGTGTTCAGTTTTTCAGTTTCATAAAAACCTCACTTGTGAAATTTAGAACAACTTTATTATATAATTCACATGCCATAAATTTACCCTTTTAAAGCTTTACTTCAGTGGTTTTTCAGTACGTCGCAGGGTTTACCATCATCTCAATTTTTAGAACATTTTCATCATCCTATTAAGAATCTCCTTACTCATTAAGCACCTATTCCTCCTTGTGCATCCCAGGGACCAAACTTAGGTTATTTTTTTGCTGATACCCTCCTTAACTATCCCTTAGCCCCAGGCTAAGCAAATATGAATCAGTTAATGTATACTGCAGTGTATATCAGCACTTCATTCCTTTTATTACTGACTAATTTTTCATTATATGGGTCTAGCACATTTTGTGTGTTTCTCTATTGATAGATGAATGTTTAGATTGACACTGTTCCATGAGCACTTATGTGTTCTTATTCTGTTGGGTGTACTCAGGAGTAGAGCTGCTGGGTCAGTGAGCTGGGACACATCTGACTACTGAGCTGCATCCTCAGTCAGAGGCAACATATCCAATAGTGGAAAGTAAGGGTTCCAGGTCCTTACCATCATCAACATTTACCTTGTTTAAAAGAGAGTTTGTTTTGTATATGAATATGAAGTGTTATTGTGACTTTGATTTGCATTTTCTTAATAGCAATGTCAAGTGTCTTTTCTGTAAAAATTGTTTTGGTCATTTTTTTTGTCATTTTGTTGGATTTATATTTTCTAGATACAAATCTTACATGGAATCTATGTTTTCAAACACTTTCTTTCTTTTCTGTTTTTAAAATGTTCCCATTTATTTCGTGTGTGCTACTTATATGTGCATGGGTATGTGCATGCAATGGCTCACCTGTGAAAGTCAGGGGTCTACTTACAGAAGTAGATTCTCTTTTCCTCCTTGTGTGTCCCTGGGACAGCTTGCTGGCCCTTTTGTGGGGGAGTTTTGTTGTTGTTTTGTTTTATTTTACTTTGTTTTTCCTTAATGGTGTCATTTAAGACGCAAATTTAGGTTAGGAATTAAGTACCCATCACCACATAAATAAATAACCAAATGTTTTTAACTTTAATGAAGTCTGGTATATTTTTTGATTTTTCATTGTAGAGGTCCTTGGTTAGGTTTATTCCTAGATATTTTATGTTCTTTGAGGCTCTTGTGAGTAGGGCGTACCCATGATCTCTTTCTCAGCATGTTTGTTTGTGGGCTATAGTTTTTTTATCTCAGAAAACCAACTCTTAGATTCAGTGATTCTTTGTATTATTTTTTTTCAGTGATTCTTTGTATTATTTTTTTTCTATTTCATGATTTTCTACTCAGATTTTTTATTATTTCTTGCCATATACTAGATTTGAATTTGTTTTGTTCTCATTTATACAAATTCTTGAGCTGCACATCATTAGTCATTAATTAATTTGTGCTCTGTCTAACTTTTAATGTAGGTGCTTGTAGCTATAAATCTTCTTTATAGGACTGCTTTTAATGAGACCCAGAGGTTTTAATAGTTTGTGTTTTCATTTTCATTTAGTTCCAGGGATTTTAAAATGTCTTTCTGACTTCTTCTTTGACCCAGGTGTCATTCAGTTGTTTCATCTCCATGAGTTAGTGTGTTTAGGAGAGATTTGTTTACTGCCAGTGAGGTTTATCGCATGAAAGTCAGATATGATACATGGAATTCTTTCAGGTTTTTTAATTTGTTAAGATTTGTTTTGTGTTCCAGGATGGTCTATTCTAGAGAACCTTCCATGTGCTGCGGAATAGAATATATATTCTTTAGTATTTGGTAGTATATTCTGTAGTTATCTGTTAAGTCCATTTGATGTATGATGTTATTTAATTCTGATAATTATTTTTTCACCAGATGACCTGTCTATTGGAGAAAGTGTGGCATTAAACTCACCTAATATTAATAGGTTGATATTAATCTGTGTAATACACTTTTTATGAGTTGAGTGCCCCAGAGTTTGGTGCAGTTATGTTGAGGATTGTAATGTCTTCTTGGTTAATTGTTCCCTTTAGAATGAAGTATCCTTTATCTCTTCTGATTAGTTTTAAAGTCTGTCTTGTCATGTATTAGGATAGTAATGCCTGCTTGTTTCCTGGTCCCACTGCTTGGAATTCTTCTTTCCATCCTTTTATTTTAAAGTGGTACTTATCTTTAAAGCCAAGGTAAGTTTCTTGTAGACAGCCAAGGATAGATTTTTGTGTCTGTTTACTGGAGAGTTGAGGCTATTGATATTTCAAGTTGTTATTGAAAGGTGTGTATTGATTGCAGTAATTTCATTTATTTATTTATTTATTTAATTTGGCTGTTTGTATTGTTAGTTGTACCTTGTGATTTGGGAATTATAGCTTCGTTTGTTTCCTTTCTTTGGTCTCTTTCTTTCTATGCTTACTCCTTTCTTCAGGCCTAAGCATTGCTTCCAGTATTCTCTTTAGGGCTGGTTTGTTGAACACAAATTCTTTTTGCCTATTTGTATCATGAAAAGGTTTTCTTTCTCTTTCAACTATAGCTCACAGTTTTGCTGGTTTCCACTGAAAAATAATCTATTATTATTTATATGTGGCTTGTGTTTTTTCTCTCGTTGCTTTCTATACTTTTTCTTTATGTTTTGATCCATTCCATTTGTAAGGCCTTCTAACTTTTCTAATTGGGTTACCAAGTTTTCCAATTCCAACTTCATTCCAGTTTGAATTCTCTTTAATATTTCCCTTAATTGAACCTTAGTTTTCCAACCCTGTATATTATCTTGGTTCATTCAGCCTTATTTGTATTTTTCTTGTGCAACACTCAGGCATTTATTCTCTTTAAGTTTATTTTCTTCAGGTTCATTGAGTTATTTCATTGTATCTTCTTTTATTTTGTTTTGTTTTTGTCGTGTGTTGTCCCCCCCCACCCCCACCCCCACCCCACCCTACACACACAGAGTTTCTCTGTGTAATAGCTCTGGCTGTTCTGGATCTCGCTCTGTAGACCAGGCTGGCCTAGAACTCACAGAGATCCGCCTGCCTCTGCCTCCAAAGTGCTAGGATTAAAGATGTGTGCCACCACACCTGGCCTATGATTGTTCTTTTAAGTTTTGGGTCCTGAGCTTCATCTAGGTAATTCTCATTAGACATTATAGGACTAATCTATAGGACTGCTATATTTTTGGCAGGGACTGATAGACTTTTTCTTGGGTTTTCATTTTGCTTTCATTTTTATGAATTTTCAGAACTTTACAGAATTTTCATTTATTCTGATGTGGATACAGCATAGGATGTGCAGGTCAGGCTAGGCCTGAAGTTTGGATATGGCGAGAATGGGATGAAGTCAGGTGGATACAGGGGATTAGACTGACATAT